GGGCGCAGACACAGAAGTCCAAGTCGGCCTTCTCGGAGAGCCTGTCCGACTGAGCAGGACCCGCGCCCCGGGGGATGCTGGCCAGCCCACTGAGGTTGGGCCCTCCGCCGCACCAGCTCCCGGTCACTGCCGCCTGAATGAGCCAGGATCGGCTGTGGGGTTTAGGATTTAATTAAATGCCAGTCTTGGGGAAGTTGCAGCTAGACGAGAGCCCACGACAGACGCATGGTTGCTCCTCTTCGGGGTGATGTGCTGCTCCCAGCCCCACAGGTCAGCAGCCGTCTTTGTGCTGGGACTCCCGGGTTACCGATGATACACAGGGAGCGTCTGGAACGCACCACTCAGCTGAACGGAGGGGTGGTGACGCTCGCATCAGGGGATGCTCCCAGCGCTGATGTGAGTCTCAGCTCTGGGCGAGGCCAGCCTGCAGGTGCTGCCTTACACGGTGCTGCTGCACAAAATGAGCCTTCCAGGGTAGATGCTAACAATCCCTGCCAGTGCCATCAGCGTGCAGTCCAGTACAGGTACCCTTAGCAAGAAGAGCTTGTTGGGCATAGTGATCGTCCCAGGCAGTGTCGCTACTGGAAAATACTTTCAGGCTTCCATAGGTAAATCATTCATGTGGCCAAGTGACAAATTTTCAAATTGCAGCACAACTCTGTCAATACTGACTTGCTCCGTTAACTGCTTTCCCCTGGTCAATGTAATAAATATTAACTATGTCAATTTTTAACATGAGATTTTCCTTTGTTCAGGTAGATGACCACTGAGAATTGAAAATCTGGCCTCGTCACTCTCCCTCCTTCCCAGTGATCCAGTGTGTTGCAAAATTAGTAGGGAGGGTGCATAATTTTCTTCTGTGTAGAAGGTCTGCTTTGAATTCTGATTTGTCGCTCAATGAATTTGGTCCCATGAATCAAACTTGTCTCTGTGAGAGGCTGTGTGGCCTTTCCTCCTCTTCCCCAAAGGGTTAACAGCTCTTACTGTCCTGTAAAGGTGTAGTTTCTTTAGAGACTAAATGCAGGAAATAAGTAAACAGTTACTTTATAACCTCATGCACCTTTAGCTGTGGAAATCACTGGAGGGAGGCCTATGGCTCTGCCCCCAGGACACACAGAGCAGCTTCTAACTGGAAAAACAAACCACTGATCCACCCTCTGGAAAGGCAGCATAGCATTTCAGCAGTGTTTACATAAGTGTGGCTCTGGGAAGCCTGGAGTAACCCACTGACAGTGGCTTAGAGCTCTGCACAGGAGCCTGGTAAAGCAGTTCTGCACACATCCATTTGCCATGGGTGGCTGGACAGGGTGTGTGCATTCCAAGCCAGCAGCCTTCCTGGGAACAAATTCAGGATGTTAAACAGAGCTATGCAGATATAAACCCACATGAGGACACAGCTGTCTAGTTACCTGAATAGCTAAGGACTCCTGGGTCACTCCTGTTCCCACAGTAAGCGATTCCCTCTCCTGTCCCTATCTTGAGCTTCTCTCGAGCATCCACAGTTCTTTCTGCCCCTGTAATCCTTCACACCTTTCAGCACTGGCCCAGCTCTCGGTACAAATGTATCACTAGCCACTTGTTAACTGAACAAATTGGTTTTTAATAGAACACAGTAAGCATGTGCTTCATCAACCTGTATAGCAGATGTTGCATGAAGAGGTTGGTCCCTCCGTAAGAGCCACAGCAGCATGTGGCAGCAGCACTGAAGTTTTCCAGTTTTTGCTGTATTCTGTTGGATGTGAATCTGTAAATAAATTCTAGCAGAGTGAGCAAAACAAGTACTTGACAGAGGAATTTTTGACTTAATATTCTGGGTATGTAATCTTCAAAGCTAGACACCCATCTTCTGTCCATGTAATCTTAGCACCATGTTATATTATTTTGTAACTGTTAATCTTCTAAGTGTTTTTAAAAAATGCTGTGAGGCCTTCCCAAATGCATTCTTTGCATTCAGTAAGGGTTAGCACCGTGTTAGTGCTGCAGGCCTGTGTCCTGACGAGGGTGGATCAATTCTTCATGTAAAAGAACAGTGAAAAGGCACCGGATCCCGGGACCTGTGTGGTTCCCAGGGCTCCTGTCTGTGGCTGCAGGAGGCTGCTGTCCCAGGCAGCCTCCTGGCAGTGGCAGGTCACCCATCTCATGGCTGGGGCCCGTAGACACTAACTGCCGACTCCTGCTAGTGCAGCAGTAGCTAGCAGCAGCTGAGGCAGCATGTTCAACCTTGCAGTGGAGCTGCTCGGCAGTGGGAGCAGAAAGCTAGCAGTTCAGAGGCTTCCTCACACGCTTTCACCTTCCTCCTCTTCCTCCTCTGTGCTCCGAGAGCCTTTATCCTCTGAGGGCAGAAGAGGCTGGTGCTGACATGACTGATGTCTGTCTGCACTCCTCCACGAGGCGTGCAGGTCTGCCCTGCCTTGCTGCAGGAAGAGGGGCAGGAGGTCAGGGGTGAAGGGCATGTCCCTGAAGGCGTGCAGGAGGAAGATGCCGGACACAATGGTGAGGAAGCCGCTGATGGTGCCGATGATGTTATTTAGCACCATGTGTTGCCATTCCTTGAAGAGGATGGCAGAGCATATCATGACTGCTGTGGTGAACAGCACGTAGTAAATGGGTGTGACCACAGATGTGTTGAAGATGTCCAAGGCTTTGTTCAGATAGTTGATCTGGACACTGATGCAGATCACCAGGCACACTAGGAGCACCCAGCCCAGAGGTTCTTTCAGGACTGGCTTCCCAGAAAACAGTTCTTTCAGGGCAATCCCCAAGCCTTTGACGCAGGACACAGAAAGTGAGCCAATGGCAGAGCAGACCAAAACATAAACCAGGATGTTGCTCTGTCCGTAACGGGGTCCAGCCACAAAGATAAGCAGAAGGGAGCTCACCAGGACACATACAGCAAATACAATGAATCCTTGGGGAAAGAAGAATTAAAGAGCTCTGTCAGAGAATCAGTGACAGATGTAACTGAACAGCAAGTAGAGCTGGAGGACAGGTGGGTAACTGCCCCATTAGTCTGCCTGTTTAGCCTCCCACCTGTAGGGACCAGGGTTGGGAAGCAGAATCGGTCTCCAGCCTGAGCAAAGTTGCAGAGACAACAGCAGCTCTTTACAGTACTGATCACAGCACTGCCCCACGAGTCAGCCTGTCAGGGGATACAGCTGCTAGTGCTGGAAGGGGTAGGGGCACAGCCAGGCTCTACAGCACTAGCAGAGGCAGGGGCCTTGTTCATCAGGAAGATGAGGGTGCACAGCTCTGCAGGAGGCCCAGGAGGGTGGCAGCTTGGGGAGCCCTAGCTGAAAACTGCAGGCTGTGGTGGGATAAAGAGGAAAGCACATCACAGGAGTGCAAGGCCCTGCCAGAGTGCTCCCTCTAATGAGCAGCATCATCTACCTGTTACTCTGCTTTGCTCTCTGTGCTTCCTTCCTCCATCTCTGGTGGCTTATTCTGCCATTCATGCTATTGCCCAAATCATATCCTTGCAACCTGATTCACCCTCTAACATAAATATCAGGACTACTTGATCTTGGGCATAACTCCCTTCAATCGCCTGTTCATCTTTGCCTGAAGTTCCTCCTCTGTCTTCCCTCAGCCACACCACTGACACCCTTGTGTACAGGAATTCCCTATCCTATCCTGGCACTGCCACAGGCCAATCCCTTCTGCTGACAGCTGCAGCTAATTCCCACGCGCTTCACTTTTTGCATCTATACTTCATAGACAGTACAAAAAAAGCACTCTTGATAACTGCTAATGGCCCAAGCTCTCATCCTTGCTTTGGCACAGACCCAGTGACTTGGGAGCATCACCCAGACTCCCTCTCTGCAAAGTGGGGTTCCGTCTGCTTCTTTCATCCGGGGTCAAGAGGATTTGACAATCCTAAGAAGCCACTCTTAAGCTGACATGTCCCCCTATGTTTTGAGCTAGTTAATAAGGTGTAAATCCTCTGAGTGCACGCATTAAATGCTGTTTGACTTCACCAATCTTTCATATTTAGAGCATGGAGACCTCAGCCTTTTCCTATGACAGAAGGCAACCCGCAAATTATCCTGGACACCGGGGAATGTTTCCTCTACTGGTGCGCAGAACAAGAAACAGCTCAATTACCCTTTAGTTCAGTCCTTCCCAATCTAGCCAAGTTATATCCTACCTTCTACTGTCATTTCCAAGCCTGAAGTTGACAGGACCCTTTTTATTTAAGTACCTGGATCTTTCAGCTTCTCTGCCATTGACTCCAAACTGGAAACCTCTTCTTCCTGCGGAGCATGGATCACCATCACCGTAGAGCCCAGGATACTCAGGATGCAGCCAATCTTCCCATGAACATTCAGCTGCTCATTCAGGAAGGTGGAAGACAGAACTGCACTGAAAGATAGTAAAAAAACCCAAACCCAATTAGGTCAAGGGATGGAGTACCTGAGGGAAGAGACAGCGGAAAGCAGAGCAACTGCTTTCACCACTAAGGAATGGTAGGTGAGGTAAGGGTGTTTCTGAGGCTGCTTACCTAACAAGGACACTTAGAGCACCCAGTGGAGTTACCAATGTTGCAGGGGCAAAGGCATAGGCAGCAAAATTTGCTGCTTCTCCAATTCCCACTGCAAGAGAAATTCTGTCAGGTGAGCATCAAAGTAGGAGCAATTCAGCACAAGTTTGCGTGCAGTCAAAAGAGAGCCTCAGATTCCACCTGAGCATCCTGTGTTTCTCTGAGGTATGTCGTGCAACCAGGGAAGAACAGCACCAGCAAGAACACGCAGAAGCCCAACACAGATTCTCTTGGGAAGAGAAGGCTCGTGGTTATGCATGGTGATCCTTAGTCATATGTGGCTATGCAGCTGAGCAGTAACCACAGAAAAATATTTCCACAATGTTCTGAAAGCTGAAAGGAGTTTTGACCCGTTTCATATTTCTCAGTCATGTTCTTCTCCTGGAACAGCTTTTTAAAGGCTAAATTAAGTACAATTGGTTATTAACACTGAAAAGCATTAAAATAGAGCTGCTGAAATCACTGTAGCACTAAACCCATGGTGCTGGATGTGCAGTTATAACTACTTAGTCTAGGCAGGCCATTTCAGCACTTAACCCAACCCAGTCAGACCAGCTCCTCAATTCTATTTAGCAGAGAAACCTGGTAATGCATGAGACTTTAGAATATTTTAGAGTTATAATTAGATCAACGACATCCTCAGACACTCAGATAAAAATCAAGCAGTCAGTCATAATAATAAAACACAAAAGCAAGTGGAAAGAATGATAAACACACTCTTAAGTGTCTTGCTACAGTTTCAGAGCCGGTACTTACTGAACAGCAGCCCTGCCCACCAAAGCCATTCTTGCAGGTATGCATGACCTCCTTGCCCTAAGTAAGGAAGAAAGCATAACAAGAAACCTCAGATGAAGCTACACAAAAGGCTCATTATCCCGCCAGAACTCGCTCGGAGAAGCAAGCGGGAGCAGCCTGATCTCCTCTATGTGCAAGGCTGCCTTGGGTCTGCCTGCCTTGTCGCATATTGGCCTGACCCAGACACGGGCAAGCACCGATTCTTTTACCCTAAAAGCAGAAATGTTATCCCGTTTCTCCCGCATTTGAAAGGCAGCAGTTTCAAGAACGCATGAGTGGTTACAGAAACGTATCTTGTGTCTTTGTTGGCTATGGGCAGTGGCTGGCTACCCCTGGGTAAAAAGCCTACTTTTATACCAAAAACCCGCACAAGCAAGGAGGAGGGCGGCCAAGGCCCAGCGCCGGCCGGGCTGCCCGGGCGGAGGCGGCCTGCAGTGC